TAAAAAAATCAATGGAAAAATATCCTCAGGTGAGGATTAACCAAAAAAAGAATCTGGGTTTAGGTTGCATTGTCTTAAAGGTCCCTCAAGCTTTAATTTGCTGTGAGTTTAAGACTGTCAAATTTCCATGGTCTTATCTGAGCAGGCCTCTGTCCCAGGAGTATGTATGTCCCAGGCACTGTGTGTCAACTGAAAACAGTGTCCTCAAGGCCTTCCCTTAGTCCCCAGAGAGCAGGCCAGCACCATGTTGCTGTAGGAAGCTATGCTGATAGCCTTCATTATCTAGAAACAAAAGCAGGGGTAGGAGAATCCTCAGGAGTCCCCCCACTCCTGATGAAAGAATACAAAGCCTCATTAGTCACCTGCTAAAGTACTACATCCACATGTCTGGTTGCTTTTTTGCACAAAAAGTCCCCAAGCCCTCTTTCTTTTCTCTGAGCTGTGGATGACAGAATTGCTACAATAGCTTAGAGCTGTATTCAGGCCTGTCTGGGGACCCGGGCATCTGTTGTCCTTGGTGGTTCCCGTGGCTACCAGCCAAGTGTCCCTGGAGGAAACAGGTCCTTGGGGTTAGGACAGAAAGGATTTTTCTACTAAAACCCATCCCGTCCTGCCCTCTGGTCTCACTACTGCGCAAAAGACATGCCATTACGTTGCACTTTCTGTGTCCCTGTGTGTTCTGCTGGGATTTTGTCATGTTATCTATTGTGTCAAGTAGGTCATCCTCTATTGGGCTTACACCACTGTGGTTAAACTGAAATTGCTCTTGAATGAGGTATCATCTCACACCTGTCAGAATGGCCGCCATCAGCAAATCATCAAACAACAAGTGTTGGCGAGGGTGTGGAGAAAAGGGGACTCTAGTACACTGCTGGTGGGAATGCAGACTGGTGCAGCCACTAAGGAAAACAACATGGTGTTTCCTCAAAAAATTAAAAATTGAACTGCCATTTGACCCAGTGATCCCACTTCTAGGAATATACCCTAAGAAGCCTGAAACACCAATCAGAAAGAATACATGTACCCCCATATTCATAGCAGCACTACTTACAATTGCTAAGATCTGGAAACAGCCCAAGTGTCCATCAGTAGATGAGTGGATAAAAAAACTGTGGTACATATACACAATGAAATTCTATACAGCTGTATGAAAGAAAGATCTTTTATCCTTTGAGACAACATGGAGGGACCTCGACAGTATTATGCTAAGTGAAATAAGCCAATCAGATAAAGACAAATACCACATGATCTCACTTATTTGTGGAATATAGTGAACAAGGTAGGCTGATGAACAAAACAGACCCAGAGACATAGAAAGGAGTATGGTTCAGACTGATGAACCTCAGAATAGGGGGGCAGGGAGGATGGATGAGAGGAACCTAAGAATATATATGCATGTATGCATAACCAGTGGACGTAGACTACAACACAGGGGGGTGGAGGGGGTGGGATGGGGAGGAAGGTGTCTAGGGAGGGAAAAGGAGAAACATCTGTAACAAAAATAAATTAATAAAAATTTGAAAAAATCTTTTAAAAATAAAAAGGAAAGCCCTGAACGGTTTGGCTCAGTGGTTGGAGCATCAGCCCGCAGACCAGAAAGTGCCGGGTTCAGTTCCCACTAGGCCCTAGCGGCTAGGGGCACGTACCAAAAAAAATAAATAAATAAAAAGGAAAAATAAGCAAAAAAAGAGGAAAGGCCCAGCCAGTGTGGCTCAGTGTTTGAGCATCAACCCATGCATCAAGAGGTCACCAGTTCGATTTCCGGTCAGGACACATGCCCAGGTTGTGGGCCCAATCACCAGTGTGAGGCATGCAGGAGATGGCCAATCGATGTTCTCTCTCATTGATGTTTCTATCTCTCTCTAATATCAATAAAGAAAAAAAATTTTAAAAAAGAAAAGTCACCCTGGCCAGTTTGGCTCAGCAGTTGAGCGTCAGCCTGCAGACCAGAGAGTCCCAGGTTCGATTCCCGCTAGGGGCACGTACCACCAAAAAAAGAAAGAAGAATCGTTGAGAGAGAACATAGATTGGCCGCCTCCTGCATGCCTCCCACTGGGGATCGGGCCCACAACCCGGGCATGTGCCCTGACCAGGAATCGAACTGGGACCTCTCAATCCATGGGACGACACTCAATCCACTGAGCCACACCAGTCAGGCTCACAAGCATTTCTTAAACATTAGTCCAGGTCCAGGCACCAAGCTTCATGAGGGATGTAGAAAGATGAACAACACCCAGTTTTCAATGTTTGAGGAGATCTAAGCAGCTGTTAGTAAATACGCACCATCCTTCCTCGTGATCATGGGTCACGGAATTTCAGTCTCATCATTGTATTATTCAAAGGTGTTTCATTTATGAGAATTTACCTCCAAATACATGAACACACAAACACAGTGACCTAGAAGTGCTCAACATTTCCACTCTAGATTTATTCCTGTCTGTATGTACTGGAGTAAAAGTAGCTAATAACTGACAGTTATTCTAGATGTCCCAGAGTTTTGCATATGCTACTTGGCTGTGAATTGTGGTGGTGTAGCTTCCATGGGGGGTGTTGTGGAAATGTCAGTAATATTGCACTATTGTCATATGGCGTATTAAGGAAGATAGCAGGACAGAATTATCACCTCAATAAAAGTGACAATCAAGGAAGGCTTGCCAGTAGGATATCCTGAACTGGCAATTGAAGCTTTCAAGTACAATTTACTTATATAAACAAGCGTTCCTTTTGTCTGTATTCTCAAAATCAAGTCAAATCTGTCTAAGTACAGTTTTTCTACTAAACCGCAAATGAATGATTTCATTTCAGATAAATAATATCCATCATTTGTCTTATTTAATTAAAATAATTGTGTGCTAGAATTTTGGATTTTTTTAGTTGAATAGTTATCCTTATTTTTCAATATGGCTGCAAAATATCAAACAGTCCGTTTATTTCTGTGTGGCATTCCAATCTAGATGATTAATTTAGAGTATGTGTGTGGAACAGGCAGATTATTAGCATCTTTCCACTACACCCTTATAACACAAATTTTACCTTATTATTTGTTCTTTTTTTATTCTCAACTGAGGACATTTTTGCATTTGTTTTCAGATACAGGGGGAGAGAGAGAGGAAGAGAGAAACATCGATGTGAGAGACACACATCGACTAGCTGTCTGCCACCCACGCGACCCCAACCAGGGCTGGGGACAAACTGCAACCGAGGTATGTGCGCTTAGCAGGGACCGAACCCGGTACTCTCTGGTCCGTGGGCTGACGCTCTAACCGCTGAGCAAAACTGGCCCAGGGCTTATTTATTCTTTTATGTGTGTCTCACATGGGCAGAGGACATGAATTTACCTATGTCCTTTGGTGTTAAGGCAACACCTGTTTAGCATATGCATAAACAAAACTCCATACAGTTTGCTTTTTAACAATATTTAATCATCTAATATGAGCTTGGCTTCTTTGCATGTAAGTGAAATATATGGGTTGTCTGGAGGAATACAGTGAAGTGAATGGGTTTGGGGATATGTGCATTGTTGGGCTCTATGTGACCATCAGGCTGATGTTGCCGTAATCAGGGAGTTTCTGTTTTCCTGGGATAGACTCCAGAGGCCACTTTGTCCTTCTCATCTTCTTGATGAAGTTCTCTTCTGATTCTCTTCACTTTGGGGGTTCTTTTTCTTTCTAGCATTACATCAGAAGTGTTTGCTTTGCCTTAGCTCATTCCTAACTTGTAGAAAGGAACCCTGCAGCCCAGCTCTGGGGACTAGGCGACAGCTCCCTCCCCTTCTGCATAGTGAAAGTGGTCAGCAGGCAAAAGAAAGCAGTCATTTGGATGTTCTTTTTTTTTTTTTTTTTAATTAATTTTTGTTACAGATGTTTCTCCTTTTCCCCCACTGATTCTCCCCTCCCCCTCCCTCCCCACCCTGTCCCCAGCTTTGTTGTCCATGTCCATTGTTCATGCACACATACATATAAGTTCTGTGGTTTATCTCTCTTCGATCACCCCCTTTTCTAGGGATTGTCAGTCTGTACCCCACTTCCATGTCTCTGGGACTACCTCATTCCTCAGACTGTTATGTTCATTATATTACACAAATAAGTGAGAACATGTGGTATTTGTCTTTCTCTGTTTGGCTTGTTTCACTTAGGATAATACTTTACAGGTCCCTCCATGCTGTTTCAAAGGATAAGAGATCTTTCTTTCTTACAGCTGCATAGTACTCCATTGTGTATACGTACCACAGCTTTTTTATCCATTTGTCTACTGATGGACATTTGGGCTGTTTCCAGATCTTAGCTATTGTAACTAGTGTTGCTACAAACATGCGGGTACATATATTCTTTCTGATGGGTATTTCAGGCTTCTTAGGATATATTCCTAGAAGTGGGATCTATCCTTAAGCTTTACAACTTATCGAGTTTGCTCCCAGGTCAGGGGCATGTGTGGGAGGCAACCAATTGATGTTCTCTCTCTCCTTTCCTCTCGCTCTAAAATCCTGAAAAACACCCTCAGGTGAGGATTAAAAATAAATAAATAAGTAAATAAGAGGACAAAGAAAAGTCTTAAATTAAACCAAAAAACAAAACAAAAAAACCCCACAACTATATACCAAACGGGTAAGCTTACTGTCCAGGAAAAAATTTAAGGAACTTTGAAGACAGCATTTTGTGTACATATTATCAATATAAAAAACTAAGAAATCTTGGGAGTCAGCAGGTTCGTTTATCAAGTAATCAAGACTTAACATCACTTATTACAATGCACTGAGGACCCAATTATCACTTAGGCAGCATTCCTGCCCAAAGTAAAACTGTCAATCCAATTGAGAAAACAATCTGTCAAACCCAAATGGGTTTTTTTTTAAACCCTCACCCGAGGACATTTTTCGAAGAGAGAAACATCAACGTGAAAGGGACACGGGTCGGGGACAAACCATAACCGAGGTATGTGCCCTTAGTGGGAACCAAACCTGGGTCTCCCTGGACCGCAGGCCGATGCTCTAACTGCTGAGCCAAACCAGCCAGGGCTGGAGGGACATTTTAAAATCCTGGCTTGTACTTTATAAAAACGTCAATTTCACAAAAGACAAAGGCTGAGAAACTTTAGAACTGAGGGGAAAAGCTGGACAGTATTGGGACAATTTAGTAAAATGTGAATTGCTAATTATTAGATAATAGTAATGTATCAAATCTCCTGAATTTGATCATTGTACTGTGGTTACAAAAAAGAACATCCTTTTCCTAGGAGATACTTTGTGTACTTGTGTGCATAGAAAGATAAAAAGCAAACAAGAAGAAATGTTAACAATGGCTGAATCTTGGTGAAAGGCTCTATGGGAGTTCACAATACTGAACATTCCTGAATGACTGAAATGTTTTAAAGTGAAAAACAAAAGAGAGAAAATGGTAACATTTAGTTTTATTATAACAAACTTAGTATTTTCCTTGCAAAAAAGATAAATCTAAATGTTTCACCTTGGTGGTATACCTTAAAGTGTTAGCCTTCAAATTACCTTAGAAGAAAAATTTGGCCTATTTAATGAAAATGCACAAAACCTTACAACCACATTTATTATAAAAATATCATCACTTGGAAGTTCCCCCCTTTCCAGATTGAAGGGAAGGTTTGCTCCGGGGCACTGTTCTGTTTTCATGGCAGGAATCCCAGCTCTCTCAATGCTGTCAGGCCAAGGCATGATGGAGTTCAACTACAAACCCAACCCAGCCCTCCACACGAGTCATGAAGCAGCACGCAGAAGCCAGGCCTATTTTTTCCATTCAGATGGTTCTGGAGCTGGCCCAGCGGGGAAAGGAGGCTCCAGAACTCCCCCAGCTGCAACACCGCCCAGTTTGCCTGTGAACTTGCACTTCACCTTTTCTTCACAAACTTCTTTCTGGAAGCATTGGGATTTAACCGTCTCCTCCCAGCTCCCAAAGCGTTGTCTCGGACCTGCAGTGTTGCTGACCGGCTGGAGATGTCGTTCTCTGCAAAGGGAGATATCCCAGCTACGTAGTCAGAGGCAAATACATCTGTTTTCTGCCGAGCCTTGCGGGAGAGTCGGAGCTGAGGGAAGCGCTGGTCCTCAGTCAGATGAGGGTTGACGGCATATTTACCCCCTTTGGGAGTGGGTAGTGAATACTGCAAATAAGATGAAGAAAGGCCATTAGAAGGACGGTGATCCATATTCATATAAGGCAGATCCTGTTAAAGTCAAGTTTACCCAACAGCTCTGGATGCAGGCAGAGGACATCAGTGGAATATATCGTTTACCGCCTGCTACGTGCTAAAAACGTGACATGCATCTTCCCATGTGATCCTCACCTCAACTCAGATGAAAAACCCAACATGGGCCTGGCCGGTGTGGCTCTCTGGTTGAGCATCTACCCATACACCAAGAGGTCGCCGGTTCAATTCCCGATCAGAGCACATGCCCAGGTGGTGGGTCCAATCCCCAGTGAGGGGCACACAAGAGGCAGCCACAATCAATGTTCTCGCTCATCGATGTTTCTATCTCTCTTTCTCTCCTCCTTCCCCTCTCTCTAAAAATTAATAAAGAAAAAAACAAGTACAAAAAGACCCCCCAAGCCCTGGCCAGTTTGGCTCAGTGGTTGGAGCAATAGCCTGAGGCCCAGAGAGTCCTGAGTTCGGTTCCCGCTAGGGGCATATACCAAAAAAAAAAAACAAAAAAACCCCAAAAGCAAACATGGCATTTTGACTACACACCCTCAAGCTAAACAAAGAAAAAGTTATATATATAAACACAGAACTCTAGTAAGCAAGTACCATTTTCACAATGGTATGTTAACAACTCTGAAGCAGTAACATAATGCAAATTAGTAAAAGTGGTGCTAATAAGGCTGTCATGAATATGATGAGAGGGGACTAGAACTCTGTGGCGTTGAGTTGAAAATGAGGTTATAAATTCTATTTTTTTTTTTTTTAATCCTCACCCGAGGATACCTCTCCATTTTTTGTTCAGATAAAGTGGGAGGAAGAGAGAGGAAGAGAGATGCATCGACATGAAAAGGACACATCAAGTGGCCACCTCCCGCACGACCCAACCAGGGCAAGGGACAAACTGCAACTGAGGCACATGCCCTTAGCAGGAACCGAACCTGGGTCTCTCCGGACCTCAGACTGACACTCTGATGAGCCAAACCGGCCAGGTCTATAAATTCTATTTTTAATACACACGTACATATTCACCATCTCTGTCCACCATGGGCTGAGAATCAATGGCATCCTATGACAATGAACACACTCAGTGCCCAGATCTTTGCTTCTAAAACCATTCTCCACAAAAACGACCCAGAGCTGTTTGAGGAAATGGCTGATTCCAGGACAGGGGCAGTATAAGAAGAGTTGGAACATCTTGCTGTGTCAGAAAGTAAGAAAGTGTTCAAATAATTGGGACAAGTCAAAAGGACACAGATGCCAGCTTGAAGGGCCTCCATGAACAGTTTGAGCATCTAAATAAATAACAATGGTGGTTATGAAGTTTAAAGAAGAGTCATGACATTTAAAGCCATTGCTCAGCTGTTTATCCTGGGCTGTTCTTGGGGCCCTGGTCTTTTTATGGTTGATGAAGTTGGGAAGACAATTGGATCAGTCATTGCCTACATGTTCACCATCATCAATGTCCTGCGGGGGGTTTTGCTCTTTGTGGTACACTGTCTCCTCAATCACCAGGTGAAAATAGAATAGAAGAAATGGTTTAATCACTTCAGTGGGATGCAGAAAGAGGATGGAACTGGAAGCACTGAGGTATCTCTCTCTACTACCCACACCAGAATGTAGGAAGAACCAGGGAAGTCATCAGAATTCATTCACAGAAGAGGCACTGTGCCGGTCCAATCATAGCCTGGGACTCAAGCTGTTTATTGTCAAAGAACAGAAAACTGAGCTGCTTATGGGTGGCACCCCTCTGTGGTCACATATGGATTGAACAAATGCCATCACCTGTATCTGCTGTGAAAATGAGTCCTGTCATCTTCCCGTTTTGGCTTCTACTGCTACAGACAGAATGTGGCATATGGGAGAATATTTAGACCGGAATCCAGAATTGCATGTCATGTGCTCAAGGAATCCTTTTTCTTTTTTAAAATCTTCACATTAAGCCAGAAGCAGCAGATACAACTCCTTTTTGAAAAACCGTTATTTTTAAAATTTATTTATTTTTATTATTTTTGCTTAACCCCTCACCCTTTCACCCAACCTTGCAACCCCAATATGACTCCTCTTTAGTGAGTTGTCACCGTGGAGAACTGCTGACAGGGAACGCTCAGCTTCTCAGCTTTTCTCCATATCCTTCTCCCTCCACTATCTCTCCAAACTGTCTCTATAATTAAACCTAGACCTCAAAGATCCTTTTTAATGATGAGAAAAATAAGTGGATTTTCTTCTTCCAGCTGTTGCCACGTTGCACAAGACTACTGGCTGGCACCAGGGTTCAGCTCACAATCCCTCTGTGGATTCTGTTACATTTCAAGCTTCCAAAGATCTTACATCACTCAACACGTACATAATCCAATAATTCCATATGAATAAATATTAAAAAGGGGGTTGCAATCTTGGAATGCAAAAATACACCCCACCCCTGATTTGTGCTGCAATGTCACTGGAAAGGTGCTTGTGGTCAGGTCACAGGACTTCCCCGTTTTCTTTCCCTGATGACTGTTTTGAACTCCTCCTGGTTATATTAGGAGAAAGATATCAGGGCAGGAAGAATAGGGAAATTGAGGCAGGAAATTAAACAAAGCCATGAAGCTTTGTAGACTGCTTGTAGCAGGGCATTACCTTTTTTAAGAATTTTTTTTCTTTCTTTATTGATTTTAGAGAGAGAGGAAGGGAGAGGGAGAGAGATGGAAACATCGATGAGAGAGAACATTGATTGGCAGCCTCCAGCATGCTTCCCAATGGGGATTTGGCCCACAACCTGGGCACATGACCTGACCAGGAATTGAACTGGTGACGTCTTGGTTCATGGGTCAATGCTTAAACATTGAGCCACATGGGCCAGGCTAGCAGGGCTTTATCTTGAGAACGTAAGGTTAAAACCTCTCCTTCTCACAGAACAATGCAGGGGAGGAGGGGGATTGGAAGAGGAGAGGAGGAGGAGGAATCAGAGACCGCTTAGTGCAAATCATCTCGAAGTTGTTAGGACTGCAGGGAGGAGGAGAAAAGAAGAATATAAACAGAAAAAAGACAGGAGTTGGGATTTGTCAGGTAACTCTCATAAATTGTGGGACTTTTAGAGTTAATCTGTGCCAGGATATCTAGCAAAGAAATTAAAAAAAAAACCTTATAGACGGAAGGGTATATAAGGCAGAAACTGCCCACCCCACTTGCTCTTCAGATGAGCTGAGAGCCCGTCTGCGCTTCATAAGCCAGATGTATAGGTTTGCTCGCTTTGTTTCGTTAATAAATGTGCATGCTTTAATGTTTTAGTAAATTCACTGAACAATTAAAATTAAAAACAAAACAAAAACAAAAAACAATGGTGATAGATAACAGCCTACAGACTAAATTAAAAGTCTACAGACTACACTCATATAAATACATGAAGAGAAGATATTCCTCTTTATAGCAGAATGCCAGGTAATGAATAGAGAAAGACTGATGGGCCCTGGCCAGTGTGGCTCAGTGGAGAAAATGTTGGCTTGTGCACTGAAGGGTTGAGGGTTCAATTCTTGGTCAAGGGCACATACCTGGGTTGCAGGTTCAATCCCTGGTCCCCAATGGGGCACGTGTGGGAGGCACCCAATCAAAGTGTTTCTCTCACATTAATGTTTCTCTCTCCCCCTACACCTCCCTCTATTCGACTCTTTCTACCAAAAAACAAACAAACAAACAAACACCTCCAACAAAACCAATGGAAAAAATTACCAAAAAGGAAAGAACGATGGAATTAGAAAATAACCACTGGGACAACAACCATCCCTGTAAAAACCAATTCAGGTAACTTTAGCCATGAAGTTACCTGAAGTTTGATGAGAAATAGTATGTAGCCCTGGCCAGTTTGGCTCAGCGGTTAGAGCGTCGGCCTGTGGTTCAGAGAGACCCGGGTTTGGTTCCCGCTAAGGGCATGTACCTCGGTTGCAGTCTGTCCCCGGCCCCGGTTGGGTTGTGCGGGTGGCAACCACTCGATGTGAAATCACATCGATGTTTCTCTCTCTCTCTCTGAACAAAAAAATGTCCTCGGGTGAGGATAAAAAAAAGAAAAACCAGTTCATTTTAAGAGACTAAACAGACACAACAACTAAATGCAAGGTATGCTCCTACACTGGATTCTGGACAAAAAACAAAACACCTTCTTTTGCTATAAGGGAAATTTATGGTAAAGTAATGTTAGCTTCTTGATTTTCATAGTTATACTGCATTTATGTAAGACAATGTCCTTGTTTCAGAAAATACTATAGTATCTAGGAGCAAAGAATCATCATGCACAATTTACTCTTAGATGGTTTAGGAAACACACACACACTAGGCCCCCCCTTGCCCATGGGGGATATGTTCTAAGATCCCTAGTAAATGCCTGAAACTGGATAATACCAAACCCCATATATACTATGCTTTCTCCTATATGTACGTATCTATGATAAAGTTTAATTTATAAATTAAATACTGAGTAACTAGTAACAGAAATAACAATTATAACAACATACTGTAATAAAGGTTATGTGAATGTGGCTTCTCTCCCACAATATCTTACTGTACTGTGTTGTGCTTACCTCTCTTGTAATGACGTGAGATGGCACAATGCCTACGTGCTGAGATGAAGTAGGTGGAATGACACAGGCACCGGGATACTGTAACCGCTGATCTGATAACTGAGCTGGCTAAGTAACTAATGGGTGGGGAGCCTATATAGCACACTACTCAGAATGGTGCACAATTTATGAATGCTGGAATTTCCATTTAATATTTTCAGACTGCAGTGGACTGTGGTCAACTGAATCTGCAGTAAGCAAAACTGCAGATAAGTGGGGACTACTGTATGAAATAATAGAACAACTGTGGTGGAAGATGAACATTAGGGAAATCTAAGTAAGGGTAGATGGGAATTTGTACTATTTTTGCAACTTTTCAATAAATCTAAAATTATTTCAAAATAGAAAGTTAAAATTCTTTTTGTGCATTAGAGGCAGTCACCACACTTGGAGAACTCAGTGCCAGGTTGGCTACACTCTGAATCATCTGCCTCTTAACCCTTCTCTCTGGATTCTTCAAAACAAATACACGGCTGTGTATTCAGCCCAGGCTTCTGAAAATTCTGCCCATCCTCAACCACTTGCACAAATCTACCTACCATACTGTAAATGACCTCCCTCTTTGTGACCTCACATGCATTTGGCCCTTATCACTTACTGCCTGGAATTACTGGTTCTTTCTCCTTAAACTGCAAACTCCTCAAAGCCTCACATGGGGCTCTGCCGTGCACTTGCCTTCACCTGTCTTGGTACCTGGATGACAGGCTTTCAGTAATTATTTTGTAGAAACCACGAGAATTTTTTGTCCTCCTTTGTCCTCTGAATGCTGGCGCTATGGATCTCGCCTTAGGCCCTGCTGTTAGAGGATTGAGAGACAAGCCACTCACCCGGAGGCCCCGAGGATTCAGCACCTTGGGGTTGCGGGAGAAGTGCATACACAGGGTTCCGTTGTCACTGACAGTCACAGACACTTTCTTCAGGGTCTTATTTCCACAATGTGAACAGAACACGCGGCTCATGTCAGAGGTTGTCCTGGAGACATAAAAGGAGATGCTCTGTACTGGAGCCACAGGCAGCAACCCTATCCCCCGAGCACAAGACTCACAGGACTCAGAGGAGGCGGGAACGGCAAGAACGGGGCAAGTCTAAACCACCACAAACCAAGGCCACCCAGCCTCATGCTGATGATACAAGCAAACTGCAGCTACATTTCTCAGAGGTAAAGGGAAACGACAAAGGAACAAGTACATTAATATGAAAACCAAGCATATTGTTTGTTACATTAATAACGAACCCTTATTGAACTGTCAGGCATTAGTCTACAAGTTTCACATCAAAACAATTCTATAAAGTTGCTACTATCTTCAATTTATAGATGGGGAAACCAAGGCAAGGTAAGGTAGCATGTTCAAGGTGACATAGCTTATAAGGGCAGATACACACTCAGGGAGTCTGGCTCCAGAAACAATGCTTTTTTAAAAAAATATTTTAATTTTATTATTATTTTTTATAATTTATTTTATTTATATTTTTATCCTCATCTGAGGACATTTTTCCATATTTTGTTCAGATAGAGTGGGAAGGAGAGAGAGAGAGAAACATCGACGTGAAAGGGACACATCGAGTGGTTGCCACCCGCACAACCCAACCAGGGCCGGGGACAAACTGCAACCGAGGTACATGCCCTTAGCGGGAACCAAACCCGGGTCTCTCTGGTCCACAGGCCGATGCTCTAACTGATGAGCCAAACCGGCCAGGGCTTTATTTTTTTATCCTCACCAGAGTACATTTTTCCATTTTTTTTGTTCAGATAGAGTGGAAGGGAAAGAGAAGAAGAGAGAGAGAAACATCGATGTGAAAGGGACATATCGAGTGGCTGCCACCCGCACGACCCAACCAGGGCTGGGGACAAACTGCAACTGAGGTACATGCCCTTAGCGGGAACCGAACCCAGGTCTCTTGGGACCGCAGGCTGATGCTCTAATCGCTGAGCCAAACCGGCCAGGGCCAGAATCAATGATCTTAACATCACTGTGCTTTCTCAAGGGGTTTATTATTATAGCTCTACATATTTACGGTGTCCCCACATGTGGGCCTGGGCATTAAGCCAGGAGGTGGTTCTGGAGACGTCAAGAATCTATTAACAAATGACAGAGGAAACACCATAAAAGCTGCTATGGTCAAACAAGTGTGGGTGTTGTGGACAGACCAAAAGGTCTTGCCTCTTTTCTATCCACTAAAACCCAATGGTGGACCTCCCATTTGTGTATTATTTCAAAGCAAATCTCTGACACCATTCCATCCTTAAACATTTCAGTACTTATCATCAAACGAGGAGGGCTCTTTGGTCCAGAACCCACACCTTAAATCCTATGCCACTAAGATAATGACTAAAAACGCCTCTCTCAATTTCTCAGGTGTGAGGCCACTGGCCTCTCTGCCCCAGGGGTTTCAGTGCCCTGGTGGGATGAGGTATACACACAAATGAGGTGCACAAGACAAGGCTCTCCTTAAGGAAATTTTGAGAAGGGAGAGGAAGAGAGGAGAGTTCAGCAGAGGGCACTGGTCCGATCAGCGACGTACCTGAAACAGCCGTGGCAGCGCAGTAGGTAGCTCCGGGCCTCTCGGATCAGCATGCCGTTCACCGCCAGCACGTGCAGCCCCATCTGAAGCAGGACATTCTGCAACCAGTTAAGTTAAAGCAGAGATAAACTCAGAGCACAACTCAATTTTCTTTTAACATCTGTATAATTACAGTTAAAGGAACATCCTAAAGGACTTCTAAAGGACTTCTACTAAGGAAAAGTAAGATTAAGATGCCTCTCAAGACGTACAAACTAGGACAAGGACCCAGATTTATCTCAAGAGCTGGGGTCTGTGCTCACCATTTTGCTACAGTCCCTCATTAGCAATCTCTCTTAACAGAGACATTTATTGGTCAGAGCAAATATACTCATTTCTGGGAATAGAAACTCTCTCTACTTTCTCCAAGTACTTAACTGAGCAAAGAGCATTAGACACACTGAAAGAAAAGTATCAACAGATCGATCATGAATAGTAAACATTAAAAAATTAATATCCCATATACATTTTGTCATATTATGATTCTCTAGCCTCCAAGCAAACTAAAAATCACTGAAGAACACAGGCAAAGTTCCTAGAACCATTACACAATAACTCTGAGCACACCCACAAACCTCTGAGGGATCACTGCCCATGACAAGTATGACACTTAGCCCAGGGCTAACATGCTGTCCACCCACCTGCATGGCAAAGTCTGTAGTCACACAGCCAACCCGCACATCCTTCGGGATGGTGCATTGTTCAAAATCCCGCTGGATTTGCTTGATGTTGCTGGGGGTTATCCACCCACCACCATCATCACTATCTTCATCTTTCCTTTCTTCAAATCCATTCTCTTCCTTCTCCTCCTCACTTGCAACATCCTCAGCTTTGTCAATCTGAAACATAACAGAATACACAAACTCCAAGCCCACAGGAACAGCAGGGAGCAGCTCTGTTGTCACCAGGAGGAGATAGTGAATATGGGCCTTACCAGCAGCTCCTGCAGGTCACGATCAATATCAGGCAAAGGGTTTCTCCAGAACATGAAGGAACTGAATTCTAGGTCCTCAGGCTCACTGGCTGGGTGTTCATGTTCCACTGTTTCTTGTGGGGGTTTGGGCTGAAGTTAAAATAATAATTTTAAAACCTGAACATTGAGAGGGTTACAGAAGGAATGATACATATGACCCATACAAGTCAGACTAGACAGGGTGGGACAAATGATACTATTAGTTTAGGTAAACTTGGTTCACTGCAAACAGTCCATTTGTGGAGACATGACTTGTGGCAGAAAGGGCATGACGAAAAAGACTTATCTAAAGGAATTACCTTTGAGGGGAGATGGAAACCAGAAATGTGTAGAGGAGTTTCAGGGTGCTGAATCGATGAGCTCACTTTAACCTTTAAAAAGAAAAGAAAAAAGTGACAGCCCTGCCCTGGCCAGTTTGGCTCAGCAGTTGGAACGTCGGCCTGTGGACCAGAGAGTCCCAGGTTTGGTTCCTGCTAGGGGCATGTACCAAAAAAAAAAAAAAAAAAAAGTGACAGCCCTAAGCAAAATAATAGTTTGAAAATTCAACATGAATGAGTAATTAAAAGACAAATTATTTTCCCCTTGGTTATTGAAGTAAAAGATTGTTACTCTTTAAAAAAACTGGAACCCTGGCTGGGTAGCTCAATTGGCTGTACCAATACACCAAGGTTGTGGGTTCGATCCCAGTCAGGGCACATACAAGAATCAACCAATGAATGCATAAATAAGTGGAACAACAAAATTGATGTTTTTCTCTCTAAAATCAATAAACTTTAAAATATAAATATATACAGTCATGTGCTATTTAAAGATAGAGATACATTCTGGAAAATGTATCATTAGGCAATTGAATCGTTGTGAGAACATCATGCGGTGCTCTTACATAAACCTGGATGGTCTAGCCTACTCCACACCTAGGCTATATAGCACATATTGTTGTATATGTGATCCATCATTGACTGAAATGTCATTATGCAGTGCATAACTACATACAGAATTATTCAGCCCTGCCCTGGCCAGCTTGGTTCAGCGGTTGGAGTGTCAACCTGCAGACCAGAGTCCTGGGCTCAGTTCCTGCTAGGGGCACGTAAAAAAAAAAAAAAAAAGAATTATTTAGCCCTGGCTGCTCTGGCTCAGCAGTTAGAACATTGGCCCGTGGACCAATGAGTCGCGAGTTTAATTTCGGTCAAGGGCACGTACCTTGGTTGCAGTTTGTCCCCGGCCCTGATTGGGGTCGTGCAGGACGCAACCAATTGATGTGTCCCTCTCATGTCGATGTTTCTCTCTCTCTCTCTCTCCCACTCTATCTGAACAAAAATGGAAAAATATCCTCGGGTGAGGATTAAAAAAAAAAAAAAGAATCATTCAGTGATTTCACTACTAAATAACCACTTGGGATATTTCCTTTTTTTGTCCTCATACATAAAGCTGTAACAAACACCCTCATCTATAAACTTGGAAGTATCTTTGGTTACATCCTTAGGATAAATGCCTAAGAGTGGAATTGTTCTTAGTAAAAAGACAGTCTATTAAAAAAAATTTATTTTTCCTTTATTGATTTTAGAGAGAGGAAGGGAGAGGAGGAGAGAGATAGAAACACTGATGAGAGAACATCAACTGGCCGCCTCCTGTATGCCCCCCTCTGGGGATTTAACCCACAACCTGAGCATGTGTCCTCACCGGGAATTGAACGGGTGACCTCTTGGTGCATAGGTTGATGCTCAACCACTGACCCATACCAGCCAGGCAAGACAGGTTGTTTTAAAGCTTCTGATACAAAATACCTAACTCCTGCCTAAAAGGCTGCAGAAAAAGGCAATTTCTAAGTTTTATGAATTGGAGGCCAAACGGAAACCCAGCTACCAGTCAGAGTCAGTGCAACTGTTTCATTGACTCCCTTTCCCCCAAAACATTCCAGTGACATGCAGAAGTCTGTATGTTAGGCATCACTTTTTTTAGACTTTCTGGGTTGAAGGACTCTAAACCTAGCTGAAAACATGCCGAGCACAGAAATGTGAGTCTACCGTGGTTTTGATGACTTAAGGCAGAAGAGATCAAACAATTCTTTGTCAATACTATTTAAAGCCCTGGCCAGTTTGGCTCAGCGGTTAGAGCGTCGGCCTGTGATTCAGAGAGACCCAGGTTCGGTTCCCGCTAAGGGCATGTATCTTGGTTGCAGTTTGTCCTCGGCCCTGGTTGGGTCGTGTGGGTGGCAACCACTCAATGTGTCCCTTTCATGTCAATGTTTCTCTCTCTCTCTTTCTCCTTCCTACTCTATCTGAACAAAATATGGAAAAATGTCCTCAGGTGAGGATTTAAAAAAAAAACAACAAAAACTAAAATTAGTGTAAGGTTAATTCTTTGACCTCCAAAATCCTCTGGCCTGGAAACAGCCAATAGGGCACAGGCATAAATCCATTAGTCTCTTCAATCTTGTCAAGGTGGGGAGTCCCTAAAAGCACAACAGGAACCCAAAATCCTGAAGGTATCAGGGGTTTAAAAAAAAAAAAAGCAAGCATTTAGTGTTCTTGCTTCTGGAAAGAATTTTCTAGTTAAAAAAAAGTGAGAATGCAGTTGATTTTTACTCTTTCTGCATTTTTCAAATTTTACTAACCTTCCCAAGAACCTACAGATCAAAAGACTTACACACATTTGCTAACTGCAATGTATGACCCTTACTTGGATCCTGATCCAGACAAGTATTTTTAAAATTTTATAAAATTGAGAAACATGAACACTAACTGGTTATTGGACAATATTAGGGAATTATTATTAGTATTTTATAAGTATAATAATGATTTTGTGGTTACTTTTGAAGAGACACATTAAGAACCATATATCGACTTCCGGTCAAGATGGCGGCATAGGTAAATGCAGTATTGCGTCCTCCCACAACCACATCAAAGTAACAACTAAACTACAGAACCGCCTGACATTGAGCTGAATAAGTCCTACAACTAAGAAATTAAAGAAGGAGCCAAATCGAGACTGGTAGGAGGGGCAGAGACGCGAAGGGCTGGTCCCACACCCACGTGTGGCGGATAAAAATCAGGAGGACACCTCGGCTGGGTAGGTCCTCCCTGAGGACTGAGGCATCCCTGTCCCACACCAGGGGCCCCACTCAGGGTTCCAGTGCCAGGAAGAGAATCCCCATAACTTCTGCCTGGAAAAACCAGCAGGAACTCAGGCTCAGGGAGGGTGAGGCAGCTGGAGCTCCAGGCAGCTCCTCTTAAAAGGCCCGAGCACAGACTTATCAGACTCACTCCTTCTAAGCTCAGAAGGGACGTAGCTCGAGGAGCGCCAGAGACATACAAGGAAGAACTGAGCTGTTTGGCACTGGAGCGAGGGCTGGAGAGGGGGCTTTCTCCTGGACAGACATGCCGTCAGAGGCCTTTGTTTCTTTGGTGTGCCTTCCCTGGGGCGCAGACAGCCACCATATCTGGGACTCCAGCAACCTGGTTCACACTGGCTGCCCTGCCCTGGTGATTCCCTGAGGGCCCCCCGCCCCACGCGGTTGCCTGTTGTTTTACCATAGGACTGGCCTGTCTTGGATCCTACTTAAGGTTTTCCTAAATTCTTTCAAACAAGCAGCATCTGGTCTCAGATAGCCCCATACCTTTTGTTAAGTAATACATAGAAACAAACACAGGGAGGCAGCCAGAATGAGGAGACAAAGAAACAGGTCCCAACTGAAAGATCGGACAAAAAACTCCAGGAAAAGAACTAAGCAAAATGAAGATAAGCAACCTAACAGATGCTGAGTTCAAAACACTGCTTATAAGGGTGCTCAATGAACTTAGTGAGAACCTCAGCAAACTTAGTGAGGGCCTCAAGAGCATAAAAAAGGACCAGTCAGAAATGAAGGAGGCACTAACTGAAATAAAGAATAATTTCTACAGATTCAATAGTAGAGTAGATAAAGCCAAGAAGTAAACCATCAATTTGGAATACAAGGAAGCAAAAAACAGCCCTGGCCGGTTGCTCAGTGGTTAGAGCGTCGGCCTGCAGTCCAGAGAGACCCGGGTTCGGTTCCCGCTAAGGGCACGTACCTCGGTTGCAGTTTGTTCCCAGCCCTGGTGGGGTCATGTGGGTGGCAACCACTTGATGTGTCCCTTTCACATCGATGTTTTTCTCTCTCTCTCTCTCACACACTCTCTCTCTCTCTCTCCCCCTCCCACTCTATCTGAACAAAAAATGGAAAAATGTCCTCGGGTGAGGATTAAAAAAAAAGAAGAAGCAAAAACACCCAATCAGAACAGCAAAAAGAAAAAAGAATAAAAAAAATAAGGATGGTGTAAGAAGCCTCTGGGACAACTTCAAGAATGCCAACACTCGCATCTTGGGTGTGCCAGAAGGAGATGAGAGAGAACAAGAAATCAAAAACCTATTTGAAACAATAATGGCAGAAAACTCCCCTAACTTGGTGAAGGAAACAGACACACAAGTCCAGGAAGCACAGAGATTCCCAAACAAGATGAATCCCAAGAGGCCCACACCAGGACACATCATCATCAAAATGCAAAAGGTTCAAGACAAGGAGAATCTTAAAAGCAGCAAGAGAAAAACAGTTAGTTACCTACAGGGGAGTTCCCATAAGACTGTCAGCAAAAGAAACTGTTCTCAAAAGAAACTTTATAGGCCAGAAGGGAGTGGCAAGAAATATTCAGAGTGATGAAAAGCAAAAACCTATAACAAGAGTACTCTATCCTGCAAAGCTGTCACTTAGAATCAATGGCCATATAAAGAGTTTCCCAGACAAAGAAAAGCTAAAGGTCCCAGAAATGGTGGCAGTCTGCCATCCCAGGGAAGGGCTCACCAAAGAAACAAAGGCCTCTGACAACACATCTGTCCAGGAGAAAGCCGCCTCTCCAGCCCTGGCTCCAATGCCAAACAACTCAGCTCTTCCCCATATGACTCTGGTGCCTTTAAGCTGCCTCCCCCACATTGGAGCCTGGAGGGTATGAGGGCCCTTTAAGAGTAGCTGCCTGGGGCTCCAGCCACCTCAGCCTCAGTTCTTGCTGGTTTTTCCAGCCAGAAGTTATGGGGACTACAAAAAAAAAAAAAAATAAAGAAAAAGCTAATGGAGTCCATCACCACCAAACCATTAATATATGAAACGTTGAAGGGTCTTCTTGAAGAAAAAGATAAAAAATATGAACAAACAAAATGGCAATAAATACATATCTATTGACAAGTGAATCTACAAACAAAATGAACAAGCAGAACAGAAACATTCTCATAGATACAGAGAATATTTTCTTGGTTGCCAGATGGGAGGGGACTTAGGGGAACGGGTGAAAAAGGTGAAGGGATTAAGAAGTACAAATTGGTTGCTAGACTGACAAACCTCAAAGGGAAGGGGGGTTGGAGGGTGGTAAGAAATAAACCAAAGAACTTAAATGTATATATTCATAACCAATGGACACAGACAACAGTGTGGGGAAAGGCAGGAGGGGGGCGGGAGTGAGGAGGAGGGGGGTCAATGGGGGGGAGGGGAAATGAGGAACATCTGTAATACATTCAACAATAAAGATAAAAAATAAAAAAAATAAAGAGAAAAGAATAAAAAGAAGTATATCAGTGAAATATGATGTCTAAGTTCAAAATGGCTGGGGGTTGTCAGTAGAGATGAAAACAGATCATAAGTTGATAACTGTAGAAGCAGAATGATGGGGACCCTGGGTCCATTATATCACTGCCTCTACTTTTGTATATCTGATACTCTCCATAATAAAAATGTTAAAACAAATAAAACCAACAATCCTCCCAATTTACCTTTTCTGGTTCTTGTTTTAAGTGTGACACCCCAACAAACTCTGCTTCCAACTGGTAGGTAAGTGCCAATACTTGGATATCTGTGGCAGAGAGGCTGGGATAGTCTCCAGTTTTCTTTGAAAACTCAGTCACTGTAAACAAAAGATTCTCAACTTCATTTAGAGGCAAAAAGTCATATGATCTTAGATAACTATAATGAAAGTATGAAAAGAACTTAGGATCAACGTGCCACGGAAAACCTCTTAACACTATCAACTTATGTCCTCATCTTTTTCTAATCATAGCTGACATTTGTATTCTCTACAAGATTCACACCAGTTATGTTTACTGTGATATCCTTACAGAGTAGAGATGAAGGAACTGGAGAACAAAGTTAACAGGAAGTCATTCAAAGTTAGCATATTTGCAAGTGATAAGTTATTTATTTAAGTTTGGAATTATGTCGGAAGAGAAGGTCTCTACTCTCCCAGCTCTAAATTTTTTTTATTTTTTTTCAAATATGTTTTTATTGATTTTTTTTTTTTTTAGAGAAACATTGATGTGAGAAACATTGATTGGCCGCCTCCTGCATGCCTCCTACTGGGAATTGAGGCCTCAACCCAGGCATGTGCTCTAACTAGGAATCAAACCAGGACCTCTCAAGTCCATTGAGCCATACCAGCTAGGCTAAAATTCTTTGATTTTTAACAATTCAGATTAATAGAACAGATTACTAGATTCCAAAATGGGATGGAAAGTTAATCCAACCAATAGCTGTTACAGTCTATGATGAAACAAAAATTACTGGTTGCTTTGTAAGAAATATTGGACAGTTTTTGTGCATTAAAAACAAACAACCCTCTCATGTTTAGCCTATAGGAAATGCCAGCTGTTACTATTGTTATTCTCCTGAGACATCAACAATAAACATGCAAAATACAATTTTGTAACACATGAACAGACACATGTCCTGGCTACAATGCCACATAGTACAGTAGTTATACTGCTCACATTCCCTAAACAGCAGATCTTAATTAACAGCAATTTCATTGGGCACTTATTATGTACCAAGCACTGTGCTAAAAGCTTTTCGTTTTATCCGTCAACCAAATTCTATTAAGTACTATTAGTATTTCCTCAGAAAAATTAAGTTGTCAAAGATCTTACAGTAAGTTGGTGGAGAAAGCTACAGAACTCACAAACTAATAGTGTAGGGAGCAAAATCTCCACTATCAGCCTCTAAACCCTACATACACTTTCAGTCACCTAGGAACATTCCTGGGCATCATCACCTTGACTCCTAAGAGAACCATGTTGATTCCTAAGCCAAGTGATAATTGTTTGGTTTTCTTTCAGGATTAACATAATGCCAAAAGCCATCCTTTTTTTCTAATTTGAGGCTGGCTTCCATATCCAAAACAAATATCACTCTGATCTACTGAAAAGAAATAGGCAGAAGTAAGAAATCTGGGTTCTTATTTTTAATTCAAACAAATTAACTGACTGCTTGCAAAGTGCTTGACAGTATGTTGAGTAACCAAGACCTCATTTAATGGTCCCAGCAACCTCTGAAATAGGCACTATTATTACTCCCTATTTACAGATGAGGTAATCAAGCCTAGAAAGTCTGAGTTATATACCGAGAGTATAGCCCGGCTGACTTCTGACTCAGGAAGCTTCTTCTGTGCTACGATCTCCTTAGAATGTTAAGTTTCTAAACCAACTACTGATAAATTTGGCAGACCCCAACTCGCACCAGAGCCGGTTCCATCTGCACCCTGGGAGCCAGCTTCGCCATCAACACCGGGGCAGAGCAACTCACCCAGCCGCACGTATTCCGGGAAGGGATCTTTGAAACGCAGCTCATAGGGCAAGACGGCGAGTCGCCTGCGCGTGGCCTTGTCTCGAATCTCGCTGACCACATCCCGAATGGTGTAGATGTTCTTCCCGATGTCCTGCACAGAAACCGGCCCAGCTCATCCCATCCACCCGATCTCGCGCGCTCCTGCACGGGACGCCAGCTCAGACCCTGCTCCTGTCCACCCGAACTCCCCGTACCTGCAGAGCCGCGTCCCGCAGGAAAGCCCCGGCATCCGCCACAACGTGCTCCACGGGCGCCATCTTGGCTCAACAAGCCCGGAATGCGCTTGCGCCCGCCGCTACGTCCCACTCCGCGCCTGTGGGAGCCGGGAGGAGCAGCCGCAATTTAGCGACGCTTCCTGGCAACCTTGGCCGCATCTCCTACTTCAGGCTACGTGTGCGCATGCGCGCTGTGCGGCAGCCACCCAGCGGTCAAACCTTGTGAAGGGTTACCTAAGGGAATATGTGTCAGTGTCCAAGCCTTGGCGCGTTTTCTTTTTAACCATTAAATGTAAAACCTGTATATATTATCATTGTTAAAAGTCAGTCAATACAGATAACCCAATTTAATGATCACAAACCTATAAGATAGGTACTATTTTACAGTCACAGGATAGCTACTCAAGACAAAGTACAGTCATCATGGCTAGTGATTGTAACAAGACTGACTCCCAGATAAAACCACTGGGAGCCACTTTCCTAACCATTATGCTGTAGCAGTGATTTTCAACCTGTTTCATCTCATGGCACACACAAATTAATAAAATTCTGCAGCACACCAAAAGATATATATTTTTTGCTCATCTGACAAAAAAATAAATAGGTATAATTTTTATTCATGCACACCGGATGGTTATTATTATGGCTATTGTCATTTTTTAAATTTGACAATCTAAGGGAAAAGAGACCAGTGCCCCTGACTAAATAGTCATGCATTACATGTTTTAAAAAGTCTTTTGGGCCCTGGCTGGTTTGGCTCAGCGGTTAGAGCGTTCGCCTGCGGTTTAGAGAAACCGGGTTCGGTTCCCTCTAAGGGCATGTGCCTTGGTTGCAGTTTGTCCCTGGCCCTGGTTGGGTCATGCACGTGGCAACCACTCGCTGTGTCCCTTTCACATCGATGTATCTCTCTCTCTCTTTCTCCCTCCCTCTCACTCTATCTGAACAAAAAATGAAAAGATGTCCTCAGGTGAGGATTTAAAAAAAAAAGTCTTTTGGCCCGCAGTGTGGCACAGTGTTTGAGTGTGGACCCCATGCACCAAGAAGTTACCAGTTCAATTCCTGGTCAGGGCACATGCTCTGGTTGTGGGCCAAATCCCCAGTGGGGGTGTGCAGGAGGCAGCCAATCAATGTTCTCACTCATTGATGTTTCTATCTCCCTTCCTCTCTCTCTCTCTCTCAAATCAATCAATCAATCAATAAAAAAAAAGTCTTTCAGGGCCCTGGCTGGTTTTCCAGTGGTTAGAGCACCAGCCAGAGAACCAAAGAGTCTCAGGTTTGATTCCAGTCAAGGGCACATACCTCGGCTGCAGTTTGTCCCCGGCCCTGGTTGGGGTCATGCGGAAGGCAACCAGTCCATATGTCCCTCTCACGTTGATATTTCTCTCTCTCTTCCTCTCTCTCCCTCCCTCCCACTCTACCTGAAGATAAATAGACAAATATCCTCGGGTGAGGATTTAAGAAGTGTGCTACAGCACACTGAAAATTGCTGTGCTATAGCAACTGCTGCTTATGTACCCCACTTCATTTTGAATAACTTGGGGCCAAAGATCTATGTCTTATTTACCTTTATATTCTTGCACCAATTCCCTAAGCAAGGCACATTATATGCTAGCAAATAATTAATTGCTGAATTGAAATGAAGGGGTATGGGAGGATTTCTGTATTCCCTTTCAAACCTGAGTTGAGATTTCATCATTTTGAGATCTGGCCTATTACAAATTTATGCTGGTGAATTTTGGCTGAATGTTAGTTGAGTTTTCAGTCATCGATCTTCAGCGATGTTGGGTTATTTCAAACCTTCTTTGTCAAGGTTCACTTCAATCTTACCCTTTGATTATAATGTATGTGTTCTACTTCCAAAAATCCTCCAGTACCCTTCAGCTCTTGCCCAAATCCTTTTTCCTTCCCCAGGTATCTATCTCAACCATTCCTACCCTCTTCAACCTCCAGAGCTACTGCCCTACCTGCCCTGTCTTATTGAAGACTTTTTCTAATTTTCCAGTTCATCACATCAAATTTTTTGGGTTTTATTTCTTGCCTTTTCAGTTTCTCTGTAGAATTTGCCATTGCTGACTATCTCCTTTTCCTGGACTGTCTCTCCTTCCTTGACTTTAGTGATACTTCATAATCCTGGTGCCCCTGCCTCCCTAATGACTGCTCACCCTCCCTACTGGACTCTCTTTTTCTGCCTTGCAAACAGGACACCATCCATAGAACCGCCTTGGCCCCTTGTCTAAGTTTTCTCCTTCAGCAACACTACTTATCCTCAAAGTTTCAGCTATCCCATTATAGGAATGCTTCCCAAATCTTTAAGTCCAATCCCTGTTTATTCCCCAGCCTATCCTTCTGGGCACATCTGTGGGGAAGCTTTTGGCATCTTTAGGAGGAAGGTTATGACTGAAGTAATTACTTCTCACACCCTAGCTTAAACTTCGCTTGTTAGAGTTTTAATTTCTACTAAAGGCATTACCAACAAAGGCATTCAAGGTAAGAATCTCTGAGTCATCTTCATTTCTACCCTCACTCTCAACCTGCATTCCTCTCATTTCTGAAATGTTTGTGGTGCCTGGGTCCCCTCTACACTCATTCCTATTACTCTAATCAAGTTCTTACCTAGTGCCTAAAAAATAAAATCCACTCATTCTTGTCTCTAATTTTTTTTTCTTCAATTGATTGCTCCTGTTGCCTAAAAAGGGAGGGCGAAACTTGACTCCATAATAAAAGAGGTTTATTGAAATTGGCAGTGATAATTCTGTAAACCTTATGTTGAAGAAGAATAATCTAGATCAGCAGTTCTCAAACTTTTTTTTTAAAAGGGCACTCCTATTTATTTATTTTTATCCTCACCTGAGGACATTTTTCCATATTTTGTTCCGATAGAATGGTAGGGAAAGAGAGAGAAACATTGACGTGAAAGGGACACATCGAGTGGCTGCCACCCACACGACCCAACCAGGGCCGGGGACAAACTGCAACCTGCAACTGAGGTACGTGCCCTTAGCGGGAACTGAACCCAGGTCTCTCTGGACTGCAGGCCAACGCTTTAACCGCTGAGCCAAACCAGCCAGGGCAGCTGTTCTCAAACTTAAGTGTGCACCAGAATCACCTGGAGAGCTTGCAAACATAGATTGATGGATCTCACCCTCAGTTTCTGATTCAGTAGGTCTGGGCAGAGCCTGAAATTTTGCATTTTTAAGTTCCAGGTGATGGTGATGCTACTGACCTGGGGGACACACTTGAGAACCACTGGTTAGGGAAACAGGAAAAGAATGATCAGGCTTTCAGCCTTTTTACCTTCTAGTAAACACTAAGAATATTTATTAATATACAGGCATACCTTGGAGATATTGTGGGTCAGTTGTTTCAGAATGCTGGACTAAAGAATATTATAATAAAGTGTCATAATTTTTTTGCTGGTGGAGGGTCTTGCCTTTACTTTGTAAAAAATGCAACACTGCAGTGCAACAAAGTGAAGTGCAATGAATTAGGTATGCCTGTAAAAGGAGACATTTTGTAGCTTTTATTATTTTTTTAGAGTATTCTAATCTCTTTTCTGTTTCCTTATAACATTACTCTCCAACTCCTTCTAAAGCCTTATAAGGACTTTCACTTATTTAACAAATATGTATTGACAGCTCATTTATACTACCATGGGTTGGGTGATATAACAGTTATAAACAAAGTGATATTTTGTGTAGTGACTAGTGGCACCTTCAGAGTTTATGACTTTGGAGTCAGATCTTGAAACAGAGTAGGGCAAAGGCATCAAAGTAGGAAAGTCCAAGGGGGTCCCTGGACAGATAGATCAATTGGGAAGAGCATTGCCCCAATTCACCAAGGCTGCCAGTTCAATCTTTGGTCAGGGCACATACAAGAAACAACCAATGAATGCAGAAATAAGTGGAACAACAAATTCACGTTTCTTTCTTTCTCTCTCCCCTTACCCACTCTCTAAAAAAAAAGAAATCAATAAATAAAATTAAAAACAGGAAAGAAAATCTATGGGGGTGTTCAGGGAATTGAGAACAAAGCCTGTTGTAGCACAGGGTGACTGGGGACAGGGTCTCTCAGAGGTGAAGTGAGCCCCAAAACACTTCACTTCACTGTCTTATTTATTTATTTATCCTCACCCGAGGACATTTTCCCATTTTTTGTTCAGGTAGAGTGGGAGGGAGAGAGAGGAAAAGCGAGAGAGAGAAACATCGATGTGACACATCGAGTGGTTGCCCCACACCCGACCCAAGCAGGGCCGGGGACAACTGCATCCGACGTACGTGTTCTTAGCAGGAACCCGGGTCTCTCTGGACCGCAGGCCAACGCGCTTTAACCGCTGAGCCAAATAGGTCAGGGCCACGTCACTTTCTTGAAGCTCCTGTTTTTTCACCAAGTGAAGAAATCTCAAACACTATTAGGAAAATTGTGGTCACTTTAAATAGTTTAAATGAACAACACTTTCAAACACAGTAGGAGGACAAAGTATTAGGAAATAATGTCAACTTTTACATGTGAGGCCCTTTAGGAAAGAGAAGGCATTGCTTGCCTGTCAGTGAAGATATGAGTTAATTTCCAGGACCCGAAAATGTAGGGGCTATGAGACCATAGCTTAAGAGCCCAAATGTCCTCACCGGGAATTGAACCCGCCACCCTTCGGTGTGGAGGAAGATGCTCCAACCAGTTGAACCACACCGGCCAGGGCAATATTTGTTAACTTGATTGGATGGCTTCCTCTCACCTGTACAGTGGGGCTAATAATAGACCCGCCTACGGGGTTGATGGGAGGAGTATATGAAGCAACTGGCACTTGACAGTCCTCAATTTATTTGATGGCTCGGGAGCCATCCAGCGAGTGGAAAACGCTTCCACTTGTAAACATAGAAAGGATAAGAAAGCCTTCTACTGGCCGAAGGATCCCAGGCCGGGCCTAGGTTGCCTACACCTGCGGGTCCGGCCAGCCTCTTCCGGGTCAGGTGACTGTGAGCGGCCACGTGACCCGGCCCGAGTACAAGCGGTGGAAGACGGAAGTGGGAGAGGAGTTGGGCGCCGCTTCTGTGGCCGCGGCAGGTAGCTAGCGCGGGCACGGGGGCTGCGGCGGCACGGGGGCTGCGGCGGGCGAGCGGGGGTGCGGGGAGGGCCTGGGGAGCCGGCGGCTCGCGGTGGAGTGAGGGCGGTGCGGCCCGGGCGCCGGGGGGCGGTGGCTTCCTGTGGGAGGGGCCTGGCTCGGCGGTTCCGGCCTCCAAGGAGGGGTGTCCCGGCTCCCGCCCTGGAGGGGTGGGCGCGCCGCGGGCTGTGCGCCTGGGCTGCTCCGAGGTGGGCGCGGAGGCAGGCCGAGCTGCGGCGGCGGGCAGCGACTCCTTCCGGAAGGGGGATGGAGCTTAGGTGCCAGGGATGGAGGGGTGACCTTTGTGGAAGGGTCGGTATAGGAGGAAGGGGGCACCTGAGAATGGGCATATGCCATGGAGGGGCAGACGAAGAAATCAAGAAGATGCTGCCAGAACCCCAGCTGAGAGTCTCTTCCTTTTTTTTCTAATTTGAAAATCATTGTTACCCGAGACTTTTATTTCGGTCCCATCTAGTTTTTAAACTTCAGGAAGGAGCACAGAATCTTCTCTTGCTTTCCTCACACCCACTTAATTCTGCTTGGGTAGGGTTTCCACTTTTTGGGAACCTACCCTTTCAAATCATCTTTCTGAGTTTTATTCCCCAGATCCCATCCACTTGTAAGCTGAAAAAAAGAGCGTGGGCACTTTGGCCATAAAATGGCTTTTAACCTAAACTGTTGAGGACGACGTAGCTCATCATTACCTCAGCAACACAGCGACTGCCAAAACCTTGGACAGTGTTTTATGACTTTTCCTTTCTTCAGTTTAAATTATTCAGCTTCCCTTACCATGTGACTGCTTATCTTGACACACTGTAACTAGGTAGGGTGACTGCAAGGTCTGTGTTGTGCTTCTTGGAACTGTGACCTGGATCATGATTTTTTTTTTTTAAGTTTCAATAGTCTTTTTCTTTAAAAATTTTTTAAAATTAATTAATTAATTAATTAATTTTTGTAACATGTTTCTCCTTTTCCCCCACTGGTTGCCCTCTTCCCCTGCCCTGTCCCCAGCTTTGTTGTCCGTGTCCATTGTTCATGCACACATACATATAAGTTCTGTGGTTTATCTCTCCCCCACCACCCCCTCTTCTGGGGATTGTCAGTCTGTACCCCACTTCCACATCTCTGGGACTACCCCATTCCTCAGACTGTTATGTTCATTATATTCCACAAATAAGTGAGATCATATGATACTTGTCTTTCTCTTTGGCTTCTTTCGCTTAGGATAATATTTTACAGGTCCCTCCATGTCATCTCAAAGGATAAGAGATCTTTCTTTCTTATAGCTGTATAGTACTCCATTGTGTATATGTACCACAGCTTTTTTATCCATTCGTCTACTGATGGACATTTGGGCTGTTTCCAGATCTTAGCTATTGTAAATAGTGCTGCTACGAACATGCGGGTACATATATTCTTTCTGATTGGTGTTTCAGGCTTCTTAGAGTATATTTCTAGAAGTGGGATCACTGGGTCAAATGGCAGTTCAATTTTTAATTTTTTGAGGTAACACCATATTGTTTTCCATAGTGGTTGCACCAGTCTGCATTCCCACCAGCAGTGTACTATAGTCTGCTTTTCTCCACACCCTCACCAACACTTGTTTGATGATTTGTTGATGGCGGCCATTCTGACAGGTGTGAGGTGATACCTCATTGTTGTTTTATGGATCATGATTTTGAGATTAGATACCTTTGTGAAAAGTTGTTTATCCTCTTTTTTTTTGGTGTTTATTAACATTTGCAGCATTTAAATGAATTTCATGGTTGCGGTATAACTGAAGTGAATGAATGTTCAAAGTGGACATTCACAGGAGTCAGCATCATTGAACTCAAAATGTTAAAGTAGGGAAATAAATGTGTCTTGCTAATGTATTATTAATTAAAGTGTTTGGAGTATTTAATAAACATTTAAAATTGAAATTTGTAGCAGTCCTGTGAGTTAGGTTGGGAAGGTGTTATTCTCATGTCACAGTGAACAAACAGAACTAAGAGAGGTGACTTGATTTTTTAAAACAATTTATTGCTGTTTCTTGTTTGCTGGTCTCTTTCTCCTTGCTATACTGCTAATCCCTCAAGGACAGGAGTCATATCTTATTTGGCTTATTTGGCTATTAGCCTATTGTCTGGCATGTTGTGGGCACTTGGTAAGTATTTGGTGAATAAACAAATTTCTGAAGGTCACAATGCTATAAATGGAGGACAAAGGATTTGACCCCGACTCCTAGATCTTCTCTTATCAGACTGACCAGTTTCTGTGTTATTGGTCCATATGAATACAATAGGCCTGGGAAAAAGGCTTAGATGGCCTTCTCAGTCTCTTTTACTTAATGACTGCTTTTCCATTTACAGAGGGCTTATATCAACATCTCTTAATTTTCACCGGTCCATCTCTTAATTTTCACCGGTCCTGTGAAGGTCCAATTGCCAGGCATTGTTCTAGAGTTAAGCTGTCCGGTATGGTGGTCATTAGCCACATGGGGCTGTCTAGCACCGTAGATAAGCTATGAGTATAAAATACATACCTGAGCCCTGACTGGTGTGGCTCAGTTGATTGAGAGTCATCCCATGCACCAAGAGGTCGCTGGTTCAATGCCTGGTCAGGCTTGATCCCCAATACGGGACATGCAGGAGGCAGTAGTGTTTCTCCCTCTCCCTTTCTCTCTCTCTAAAAATTGATAAAAACATATTTTAAAAAATACACACCAGATTTGAGTACTTAGAATAAAAATAAAATATCTGGCCCTGCCCGGTTTGGCTCAGCGGTTGGAGCGTCGGCCTGTGGACCAGAGAGTCCTGGGTTCGGTTCCCGTTAGGGGCACATACCAAAAGAAAAAAGAAAATATCTGATTAATATTTTTATATTATAATAAATATAATGTTAATATATAATAAATATTAATACAATGTGAATATATTCTCTAAATGATACTTTAAGTTTTCTGGGTTAAGCACAGTATAATTGAAATTAAATTCACTTGCTTTAAAAAAACTTTCTTTTTATTTTTAGAGAGAGAGGAAGGAAGAGGGAGAGAGAGAGAGAAACATTGATGTGAGAGTGATACATCTATTGGTTGCCTTGTGCATGCCCCCTACTGGAAATCAAGCCCACAACCTGGGCATGTGCCCTGACCAGGAATTGAACTGGCAACCTTTCGGCATACAGGACATTGTCCAACCAACTGAACTACACCGGCCAGGGCCACTTGCTTTTTTTCCCCAGTTTTTAAAATGTGTTTCCTAGAAAATTAAAAATTATATTAGTGTTGTTCTAAACACCAGGTATTCAGTACACAAGAAAGGTAAATTTCCCTGCCCTTTGGATATTAAATTTTAGTGGGGATGGGAACATTAGGCAAAACAACCAAGTAAAATGCATATGATATTATAATAAAGCAGGGAAGCGGGATGTGGAATGTTGGCTGGGGTTGCAGTTTTGAGTTTGGGTCAAGAGCTGTGTGGCTGAATGGGGACATAGTGGTCCAGGCAGAGGGAACAGCAAATTCAACAACCCTAAAGAAGAAGGAGCACCCTGGCGGGTTTGTGGACCAGTCAGGAGGCCCCTGGCTGGAAGGGTGTGAGCAAGGAGAGATGTGGAGGATGAAATCAGAGAGGTGTTGAGGGTGAGGGGAGAAATGGGCAGGTGGAGGGTCTAGCAGGCCATTGTAAAGATGTTGATTTTCATTCAGAGTTAGTTGGTGCCATTGGAGGGTTTTGAGCTGTGAATTGGACATGATCCAACCTGCCTTTTAACATGCTCGCTCTAGTTGCCATATGGGGAGAGAATAAAGAGGAGGAGCAAGGCTAGAAGCAGGGAGACATGCTCAGAAGCTATTGTCATGTTCCAGGTGAAGGCTGGACTAGTTGGTCGTGATGGAGGTGATGAGGAGAAGTTGGGCCTGGGGTATATTTTGAAGTCCAAGTCAGCAGGGTTTGTGGATGTGGGATGTGTGGAAGAAGGGAGTCAAGGGTGACGCCACAGACCTTGGCGTGAATAACTGGAAGAATGGAGTTGTCATTAACTGAAATGGGGAAGACTGTAGGAGGAACAGGGTTGGGGCTCAGTTTTGTTCACATTAGTTGTGAAATGCCCATAGAAATGCAAGTGGCAGTGTTGTGGACAATTAGGGAAGTCTGGAGATGGCTGGACTGGAGGTGCACACCTGGAAGCAGTTAGCATGAGGACAGTATTTAGAGTTAAGAGACCAACGAAGTCACTATGGAGTAGTATGGGTACATACCCAAGGAGTGCTTCTTATTGGAAGTTAAATTTTGAAATAAAATCTCAGTTTACACTATTATACGAGTAGGTATTTTAAATATAGCAAAGCATTGTATTATATCTCAGGGAACTTGGTTTTCCCTCCTTTTCACTTTTCATTTAAAGACCCTTTTGAAAACTGCAAGCTAATGGGTTTCTTTTTTCTTGAGGATGCTACTCTTCCAAGTGTGCTTCTTTGTAGTGCCGCTGAAATCAGTTTGAGTGCCAGTTTCTGGAATTAGTCTGGCTTTCTGGATTGGCAGCCAATTTAGAGACTTCCAAGAAGGATAGGAAAAAAACAGTGTGGAAGGATGGGTAATCGTTTTTTGGTGTTTAAAATATTGGTTTTACCTAACATGTATGGAATGCATGTGTTTGTCAGGCATCCCATTTTTTTAAATCCTCACCCAAGGACATTTTTGCATTTATCTTCAGATAGAACGGGAGGGAGAGAGGTGGGAAGAGAGAGAGCCACCCGCATGACCCCAACCGGGGCCAGGGACAAACTGCAACTGATGTACGTGCCCTTAGGAGGAACCGAACCCGGGACTCTCCGGTCCATGGGCCAATGTTCTAACTGCTGAGCCAAACCAGCAGGGCTGGCATCCCATAGTTTTATAGATTAGAAGCAAACAGAAACTGTAAGGTGAGGTGACCCACATGAGGTCATGTAGCTAAGACATGGATGAGCTGGGATTTGAAT